CCCCCCCCCCACGTCGGAAAAGCACCAGAGGTGACGCTTTGCGGTAGTTGGCATGTGCCTCTTTTCATCAATACTGTGTTTTCTGAGCTCTACGAACCCTTCCTCATGGATGGATACTGTGATCTCCAAGGCAGTTCACTTTGTATTATTATTATTATTGCAGCCAGCACTTCTGATTTGACTCTTTTGGTACTATCTGATGTGACTGGAGTGCAAAAAAAAGTTGTTTAGCTTTTCTCTAGTTTGTTGTATAATGAATGGCTGAGCAAAAGTGCATGTGTGGAAAGCTGTGATGTTTGGATCTGAAAATGTAATGTAACTTGTCCAAAATCTGAAACATGCAGATCCCAATAAATGCATTAATAGAATGCTTTACAGGGTTGCTTTGTTTAATTCTCTACTGTTAAGATCTTGCTTTTTGTCACACACATACACTCTCTTTTTCACATCCACTTTTCTTCCTCCAACCTGTCTTTTTTTCCAGTTCAGAACTCTTATGCTAGGCAAAACTTGTATTGGGTTGTGAGATCTCTAGTCAACTGAGGTGGGGACATGCTTTTAGGGAACTAGCGCAAAAAGCATATGGGTTACGTACTCTTCTACTATAGCATCTGTAACTCTCATCATATTGTAAAGGACCTAAGATCTCTCAGCTGAAATGTAGTAGCCCTTGTGTTTGCTCTACTTATCTTCTTTGAGACATGTCGAAAGTCTCTTAGGCTAGTAACCACTGACCATTGACAAATATATCCTAAAGTATTTTGAGTTAGCTTAATACAACTAAAGTGCAGGCTCACAGGCTTGAAGAATAGCCTCCCGCTAGTCACCTGGGTGCTGAGTCTCAAACGTAGGCCACTAACTTTCAATTGACTTTCATGGAAATTAGGAACAGAAATACCTATGATAATCTGGGTCCTAGTTGTCAAAGTGCTATCAGATGTGCCAATCCAGGTCTTAGGAGACTTAAGGGGTCTTTTCCAACACATTGTGCAAGTTAGAGGCCTTCAGGTTGGCAGGTCCTGATGAAATACATCCTTGAATACTGAAGGAACTGTCTGAAGAGATCTGAGCCATGAACGATTACCTTTGAGAACTCAGGGAGGATGGGAGAGATCTTGGAGGACTGGCAAAGGGCACATATAGCACCTAACTCTTAAAAGGAGAATAAGGACAATCCAGGGAATAAACAATTTGTTTAATTTGGGAACCCAGAAAGATAATGAAGCAAGTATTCCATCAGTTTGTGAGCACCTAGATGATCATAAAGTGGTAAGTAATAAGCAACATGCATTTGTCAAACAAATTTCAAATCAACCTAATAATTAATAAGCCTTGTGGATAGGGCTGAATAGTGGGGTGATATATCTCGATTGTAATAAGACTTTTGATACTTTCTCACATGACCTGTTATAAGCAAACTAGAACTGTAGCCTCGATGAACCGACCTAAAAGGTGGTTGCGTAATTGGTTGGAAAACCACACTTCGAGAATAGTTAGGAATGGATCACGGCCAAGCTGGAAATTGATTGAAATGGAGTCCCTCAGGGATCAGTTTTGGGTCTGGTTCTATTCAGTATCGTCGTAAATTAATTGGATAGTGGCATAGAGCAGGGGTTTTCAGACACTGGGTCGCGGCTTGTAAGGGCAAATGACTAACTGGCCGTGAGATGCTTTGTTCACGTGCACCTTCGCAGCTCCCATTGGCTGATCTGTGGCCAATGGGAGCTGTAATTGACGGTAAACAGGATTAGAACACAAAATGGTCTCAACAAACTAGAGAAATGGTCTGAAATAAATAGGAGGAACTTTAACAAGGACCAATCTAAAGTATCACACTTAGGAGTGAATAATCAGTTGCACAAATAAAAAATGGGAAATGACTACCTAGGATGGACTACAATAGGGGAAAAAAATCTTGGGGTTATAGTGGATCACAAACTAAATACGAGCCAATGGTGTAATACTATTGCAAAAAAAGCAAACATCACTTGGGGATGATGTAGTAGGAGTGTTGCAAGCAAGACATGAGAGGTAATTTTTCCACATAGCACTGAGCCTCAGTTGCAGTATTGTTTCCAGTTCTGGGCTCCACCCTTGGAAAAAAAAATTGGAATTTTTGTTTTGTATAATGGAAGACAGGGGAGTGGAGGATAATAACAGTGTTCAAATGTGTAAAAAGTTTGTTGTAAAAAGGAGTGTGGTGTGTTCTGCTCCTCCCCTGAGGATAGGACAAGTAATGGACTTAAATTGCAGCAGGAGAGATTTAGGTTAGGCATTAGAAATCATTTTGTAACTGTAAGGGAAGTTAAGCACAGGAGCAGCTTACCCAAGGTAGGTTGTGGAATCTCCATCATTGAAAGTTTTTAAGAACAGGTTAGACAAACACCTGTCAGAGATTGTCAGATAATGGTCCTGCTTCAGCGCAGGGTTCTGAACTAAGTGACCTCTAGAGGTCTGTTTCAGGCTTACGCTTTGTTTTTCTGTTAAGCTAACTTGATTGAATTAACATAATTGAACACCACATCTTTTGTACTCAAGGCAGGACTGTGGAACTTTTTTATGAAACACCAAAATTAAATGAGTAACTTTATTTCAAATCAGTCCATCTGCACAGAATGCTTATTGTGGGATTGTTTAAATGGGAAATACTGTGATTGTGCACAGAGAAACATAGGAACCTCTGGTTTTAGGGAATATGCTTCCCAAGTCACAGGCTGAGCATTCAGGCTACATTCATTTGAAAACATCCGAGCTGCCCAAAGGAACTTGGTCTGGGTTGGGGTAGTGCTTTTTCTATTAAATGTAGCGTCAGCTTCAAACTGAAGCCTGTGCATTTGCTGCTGCATACATGTTTTGTATGGTAACAGCTGTGAAGAAAATATACTTATAAAATGGGGTTTAAGTGATTTGTCACCAGATCCTGGAATCATTGTGGATAATTCTCTGAAAACATCCACTCAGTGTGCGGCAGAGGTCCAAAAAAGTGAACAGAGTGTTAGAGATCATTAAGAGGGATAGACAAGAAGACAGAAAATATAATATTGCAACTATATAAATCCATGATATGCCGACATTTTGAATATTGAGTGCACTTATGGTCATCCCATCTCAAAAAAGTTATATTGGAATTGGAAAATTTTCAGAAAAAGGAAAGGAATATAATTAGCAGTCTGGAACAGCTGCCCTATGAGGAAAGATTAATAAGATTGAGACTTTTCAGCTTGGAAATGAAACAACTAAGGGCTGATATGCAGAAACCTTCAGATCTGTGGATTTATGCGGGTATTCGCATTTGTGGATATGGAGGTGGAGATCTGCAGCTCTTTTTTGCAAATGGAGATACAAACATTATATCTAGAACCCTGCATATTTACAGAAATCCACTTTATATCTACGGGTATCCACATCCCTGGCTGCAAATGCCGACTAGTGATGTAAAGGGTTAACCTGTTACATGCCCCTTGCTGGCATAAATACCAGAGTAACCAGTTAACTGGCAGGGGACTGCTCTGGCCCAGCAGCTCAGCTGGAGCAGCCCCCTCACCCATGTACCACCACAATGGGGGGCTGTTCCAGCCTGTCTGGGCCCATTGCATTGGGGGGAGAGATGCTCGAGCCCAGCCTGGCTGGAGCAGTCCCCCATCATAGAATCACATTATGCTTAACCGGTCATTAGCTTTTAACCAGGATTTTACATCCCTAATGTGGATATGAATTTTGCATCCCTGCTGGGTTGTTGTGATAGAAGTCTATAAAATCATGACTGGCGTGGAGAAAGCAAATAAGGAAGTGTTATTTACACCTCACAGCACAAGATCTGGAGGTCACTCAAGGAAATAAATAGGCAAGAGAAGTAAGTATTTTTTCACACAACACATAGTCACCCTGTGGAACTCTTTGCCAGAGACTGTCATGAAAGCCAAGGTTATAACGGGGTTCAAAAAAGAACTAGATAAACTCATGGAGGTTAGGTCATAGAATCATCGAGCTAGAAGAGACCTCAGGAGGCATCAAGTCCAGTCCCCTGCCCAAGGTAGGACCAAGCCCCACTAAATCAACCCAGCCAGGGCTCTGTCAATCTGAGACTTAAAAATCTCTATGGATGGAGATTCCACCCTTGCCCTAGGTAACACATTCCAGCGCTTCACCACCCGCCTAGTGAAACAGTTTTTCCTAATATCCAACCTGGGCCTCTCCCACCACAACTTGAGACCATTGCTCCTTGTTCTGCCCTCTGTCACCATTGGGAACAGCCTCTCTTCAGCCTCTTTGGAACCTTCCTTCAGGAAGTTGAAGGCTGCTATCAAATCCCCCCTCACTCTTCTGCAGATTAAACAGACCCAAATCCCTCAGCCTCTCCTGGTAGGTCAAGTGCTCCAGCCCCCTAATCATTTTGGTTGCCCTCCGCTGGACCCTCTCCAGTGCGTCCACATCCTTTCTATAGCGGGGGACCCAGAACTGGACACAATACTCCAGATGTGGCCTCCCCAGAGCTGAATGAAGGGGAATAATCACTTCTCTAGATCTGCTGTCAATGCTCCTCCTAATGCGCCCTAATATGCCATTAGCCACCAATGTCTGTTAGCCAGGATGGGTAGGAATGGTGTCCCTAGTCTGTTTTCCAGAAGCTAGGATGGGGAACGGGATGGATCACTTCATGATCACCTGTTCTGTTCATTCCCTCTGGGACACCTTGAATGTCGAAGATAGGACATTGGGCTAGATGGTCCTTTATTCTGACCTAGTATGGCTGTTCTCATGAATGTGTGTGTGTATATAGTGACTTGGGCTGTAACAAAGCTTCCTGTTCCTTGAATAAACTGTGGTGTTCTTCAGTTGGCTTCTACTTCTCAAATCTGCAGCAAGGTGAGACCTGTTCCATGGAAGTGATTGATGCGAGTGTTTTGGAAGTAGGGGGCTTGCACTCCTTTATTGCAGACATGACACGTGAAATGAAGGCAAGCTAGAAACAAGCCTGAAGACTGCTTGCTGTAAGGGATGAATAACTTTTATGTAAGTTCCTCTTCCAAGGACATGAAGGAGGTGTCCCCTTGCTGCTGCTGAAGAAATTGGGGGAGAGTAGAGAAGTGACTTGCTCAGAGTGATTCAGTGGCAAATTTGGATTATAACCGAAGTCTTTGTCCTTCTGGATCCTGCCTGGGCCAGCAGAACAGTAGGGAACTTGACTTCTGGAGCATATTTTTATTAAGCTCCAGAATGACAGGATACGATTTCAAACTGAGGCGGTGACATGAGCACCCTAGGAATCCTTAAATGTAGAGTAGCAATGACAGTCACCTCTCTCTCACGAGGGAGATGGACTGGTCTCGTGTGTTCTGAGATATGGCCTCATTGGCGTGGCCTCAGTCTGGAGACATGGAGCCCTTCGTTCGCCTGAAGGAGGATTCAACTAAACGTTACCGGAGCGACTGCGTTGCTTTGTGGCTGAAGAGTGCTGCAGTAAAACACTAGAAGGGCCATGCTGGGTCAGACTAATAGTCCATTAACGCCCCATCCCATCTTCTGACAGTGGCCCGTGGCAGGTGCTTCAGAGGGAATGAGCAGAGCAAGCAATTTTTGAGTGATTCATCTCCTGTCATTGGCGCCCAGCTTCTGGCAGTCAGAGGCTAGGGACACCCAGGTGCTGGGCTTTCATCCCTGAGCTCTGTGGCTAATTGTCATGGAGCAGAATGACTTATTCTATCAATGAACCTACCTACTGCTTTTTTTGGAGCTTGTTATAATTTTGGCATTTGCGACATCCCCAGCCCCAAGTTCCACAGGTTGACTGCTCTTTGCCTGAAGAAGTACTTCCTTTTGTTTGTTTTAAACCTGCTGCTTATGGATTTCAGTGGGTAATCTCTGGTTCTTATGAGAAGGAGTAAATAGCACTCTCTTCTTTACTTTCTCCACTCCAGTCATCTGTGTTCTCTCCACAGTCTTCTCTTTTCCAAGCTGAAAAGTCCCAGTCTTTCCTCTTTTTTGTTGCCTTTCTGTCTCTGTTCCAATATCAGTTTTGAGGTGGCCCGTGACCAGGTCTGCAGGCAATTCTCAAAGTATGGGTGTACCATGGCTCTATATAGAGGCCTTAGGATATATTCTGTGTTATCTTTCCCATTCCTAAATGGTCCTATCATTCTCATAGCTTTTGTGACTGCCTCAGCACATTGAGCAAGTGTTTTCAGAGAACTATCCACAGTGACTCCAAGCCCTTTCTTGAGTGGGAACAGCTAATTTGGGCCTCCTCGTTCGGAATGTGCAGCGGGGATTGTTTTCTAATGTGCCTTGCTTTGCATTTAGCAACCGTGTTTCATCTGCATTTCGTTGCCCAGTCACCCACTTCAGTGATACCCTTTTGTAACTCTTCCCAATCAGCTTTGGACTTAATTATCCTGAGTAATTTTGTATTGTCTGCAAATTTTGCCACCTCATTGTTTACCCCCTTTTCCAGATAATTTCTGAGGATACTGCATAGCACTGGTCCCAGTGCAGACCCCTGGGGGGACACTACTTATCTCTTTCCATTCTGAAACTGATCATTTGTTCCCATCCAATGACTGATCCAGGAGAGGACCTTCCCTTTTACCCCATGACAGTTTATTTTGCTTAAGAACCTTTGTTGAGGGACCCTGTCAAAGGCTTTCTGGAAGTCTTAAATACACTGTAACCAGTGGCTCACCCGTGTCCACATGTATGTTGATTCTCTCAAGGAATTTACCTCCAGTACAAGGCCAGTAAGTTTGTTTTTGGAACTGCTTTGTGTGTGTGATTTTGTTCCCTTCTTTCATAAATGTTTTTCCTGGGCTGCTAACATTTACAATTTTAACAGCTGTAACCCTCTGAAACCTGGTGCTTGTATTAGAGAAGCTGTAGCCTTTGTCCTTTGCTGCCTGGTGCTGCTGTAAGATGGATGTCCTGGAGGCACGTGGCTAACAGCTCCTCTCTCTCTTGCCCAGGAGCTGTTTGCGGAGTTTGGGACCCTGAAGAAGGCAGCGGTGCATTATGATCGGTCTGGACGCAGTTTAGGGACAGCAGATGTGCACTTCGAAAGAAAGGCAGATGCTCTGAAAGCTATGAAGCAGTACAATGGAGTCCCCCTGGATGGTGAGTCTGGCAGATGTCACAGGACATTTCACTCACTGGGTGGGGGATGCTAGATACCAGTGGTGTGTGTAAAGGTTAATTTTTACACTCTCTCTCTCTCTCTCTCTCTCTCTCTCAGGGCGCCCTATGAACATTCAGCTGGTTACATCACAGATAGACACACAGAGGAGACCAGCACAGAGGTGAGAAGCTTTTGGTGCTATGGGCCCTATTGCACCTGATTAGCCTAAGGGCTGAGGTGACCTTGTCCCTCTCTTTGTGCAGCAATGAGGCTGTGGGTTTCCAGGTTTCTGTACAGTGATCTCTGTGGCTGCGGGGGTTGATTAGCGTCTACTGTGCCTGTAATATGGCTCTCTCTCTCTCTCTCTCTCTGCTTTGGAGTGTAAACAGAGGAGGCATGACCAGAAACCGTGGTGGTACAGGAGGATTTGGTGGTGGAGGTGGCAACCGGCGAGGTAACCGTGGTGGGAACCGAGGTAGAGGCAGAGGGGCTGGAAGAAGTTCCAAACAGCAGCTCTCTGCAGAAGAACTAGATGCACAGTTGGATGCTTATAATGCCAGGGTAAGTGGAAATGGAAGGGTGAGCTGCCAGTGGCTGCACAGAAACATAACACGGAACCAAAGCTGTACCTGCTTCCTTTTGTTAATTTCATTCCCCACAATGCACTGTTAGCTACTCTTACTCATGACTCAGTATCAGCCACTTCTGGGGGGGGACATTCTGCCACATCCAGGGCCAGTTTTTCAAACAGGCTGAGTGTCCACGTGGGCCGGACTCTCACGTGTAATTGCTGCCTGTTGCACATGCTGGGAACACACAGATGAACACAAACTGCACATCTAATTTAACTGACACTATGGACTCAACAAGGAAGAAAGGAAATGTAACGAGCTGAGTTGGAGTTGTTCTTGTGATGGGGAATGGCTGTAATTACAGGTGGTACCTCCAGTGCCTACTGCCCTGTACACCAGTAATAAAGAATCAGTAATCCACGGGAGGCAAACCAAACAGACTAGTCTGAGACTGCTAGAGAAAGTGGGGGCAGGATGGGCTGTTAAGGGAGGAAGTAGGTCCCATATATAAGCCAGGGGATGTCATTAGTAAATCCCAAGGCTGAGAGTGAATAGCTAAAATGTGCCTACCACAAACTAACTAAAAAGTTGATAAAGAACAGGCAGTGAAGTTTGTGGGAAAGAGAATCCCCATTGGCTGGCCATATGAAATTCCTTCTGTACTAAGGCAGTTGCGTGACACATTCATTGTACTACTGGCTGTGTAACAATCCAGTCCTGGATAACTGGGGTGTTCTTGAAGATTGAAGGGAGCGGATTTGGCTACTTAGCAGAATCAAAATGTTCCAGTGAACGACTGGCCAGTAAGATTTATCACTGGTGAAAGAATGGAAGAAATGTGATTTGGAAAACCACTCCACATCTATATGAAGCAGCAATAAGCAGCATTGTGGACTTACAAGGGCAAATCTTGATAAGCAAACCTGATTGCTTTCTCTGATAGAACTACAAAAATAGCCTTGGAGGAAATGCAGTAGACACGGTCTTGTGGGATTTTCATAAAGAATTGAAAAGTCGCTTAAAATCTCAGTTTGAAAACTTGGCTTGGAAACTGATCCAAACCGGACAAAAAGGATCACAAATAGAGTAGGCAGTTGTGAGAAGGCATTTCTGGTGATTGATCCTGCACAGTGTTGCTGAAACTCTCTGTAATACTGAAATAGAGCAACAATGAGGGAAATTATACGAAGGGATCTGAAGATTAGAACCTTGGCTACAAGAGACTGAAGGGTGGATGGGCAGGAGTCTGGGAACATGGCCAATACGAAGTTTTGCACAGGCAGGCCCAAAAAATCCGCTGCAAGACCAGGTTCTGCTCCAAAGCAGTGCTGCTCAGCCTGGATACTGTTGTAAGCTGTGAATGCATCTCTCTATGTTGTGGGCCACATTCATACAATGTATATACTACTGCTATCGCCTTGAGGGTGTCACATGGGCTGCAACGATGTACAGGTTGGACCGCATGCCAAGAACCGCTGCTCCAAAGTTATGTCAGTCGGATGGGGCTGAGTAGTGATCCCCAATTGGCCGTTACCTCAGCAGGACTGTACCTTTGCTAATGTAGCTTCAGGGAATCCCCTGAATCGTCAAAGTACCATTTTGCGACTATCAGTTGCAACCCACTAGGAGTGTTTCCAGTATCCAAGGCAGCAGTGCGGGGTGGCAGGGGAGCCAGTTTAAAACCAGCTTCCTACACAGACA